TCTGCGGCCGGTTCATTTCCATTTAGTCCCCTTTTAGAAGCTGCAGTCTGTCACCGCCTCAATACACCGGCCACTACTGCTGTTGAACGTGGAGTTCAAACATCAGCCATCAAGCTACTGGGAAGATGGTCATCCTCCGCATTTGAATCATACATTAGACCTGTACCACAAACCATCTCAAAGGTTCAGCTGATAATATCAAGCTGTCCTCAAGGTAATCTATATGCAATTACTGGTGGTGGTATAATACCTATTCATATTACTCCCAACAACCTCTATGGTTTACTGCGGCTTAACTTGGCCTGTCTTTCGTGGCCTTCCCCTCTGTTGCCTATCTTGTGGTGTTTCCCACTGTGGCCTATTTACATGGCCTTCCTCTCTGTGCCCACTGAGGCATTTCATTCTACGGCCTCTTGGCTTTCTCACTATGGCCCATCTGGGCATCTCCATCTGTGGCCTATCTAGGCCTTTTCTCCACGGCCTTCGTGGCCTTTCTTTGCGGCCTATCGCCTTAGGCCTCAGCCTTTTCCCCACTGAGGCCTATCGGGGCCCTTTCCCCACTGAGGCCTATCGTGGCCTCTATCTCTGTGAGGCCTATCGTGGCCTCTATCACTGTCCGGCCTATCGTGGCCTCTATCACTGTCCGGCCTATCGTGGCCTCTATCACTGTCCGGCCTATCGTGGCCTCTATCACTGTCCGGCCTATCGTGGCCTCTATCACTGTCCGGCCTATCGTGGCCTCTATCACTGTCCGGCCTATCGTGGTCTCTCTCTCTGAGGCCTCTGAGGCCTCTGTGGCCCATCTCCTCTACTCTATAAGCTAATACTTTAAGCTATAATCCGATACATTCTTTAACGCTCGTCATACTCGCTTTAATCATGACTAATTAAATCTTATCTTTTCTTTCTTTTGTCCATATGTTCTAGGATCTTAAGAAATACTTCGTCTGGTGGGTACTTAATTTTCTTCTTTCTTTTGGGGTAGGCTCCGCCCTGCCTTCATCTTCGGCAGGAATAGCTGGAATCTACAATGTCTGATTCAAGCTACGGATGGGGCCTACGCCAAAATAATTCTGTTCTTTGTATTGGTTTTGTAAATAAATACTTTGGAGTCCTATGTTCACCTCCGGAGTCTTTCTGGTAGAACTGATTTCACTCTGACCATCAGAGGAAATCCGATACATTCTTTAACGCTCGTCATACTCGCTTTAATCATGACTAATTAAATCTTATCTTTTCTTTCTTTTGTCCATATGTTCTAGGATCTTAAGAAATACTTCGTCTGGTGGGTACTTAATTTTCTTCTTTCTTTTGGGGTAGGCTCCGCCCTGCCTTCATCTTCGGCAGGAATAGCTGGAATCTACAATGTCTGATTCAAGCTACGGATGGGGCCTACGCCAAAATAATTCTGTTCTTTGTATTGGTTTTGTAAATAAATACTTTGGAGTCCTATGTTCACCTCCGGAGTCTTTCTGGTAGAACTGATTTCACTCTGACCATCAGAGGAGTCCAGACTGAAGATACAGGAGATTATTACCGTTTGATTGTACAAGAGATCACACAGTGATAAAGAGTCGTACAAAAACCTCTGTCAGTCAGAGTCACAGTGACTGCACTGATACAGCTGAGAGACACTGCAGCTGCTGATGAGAGGATGTTATAAATACAACTTGGTGTAGCAAAGTTAACGAAACTTTAAATGTCTAAATTTAGATTAAAAATAATGAAATGTGACCCTGGACCAAAAAAACTGTCTCAAGTCGCTGGGGTATATTTGTAGCAATAGCCAAAAAAACACTGTATGGCTCAAAATTATAGATTTTTCTTTTATGCCAAAAATCCTTAGGATATTAAGTAAAGATCATGTTCCATTAAAGAATATCAGCTGTGTAAAAGCACACATGCACTCTTTTCTGATGTTGTTGGTGAAAAGCAGAGCAGATGTCAGATGAGAGAGAGTAAAGCTCAGTGTGGAGAATGATTGGAGTCTCTCATGTGCTGTTGGTCTCCATATGAGACATTAGAGAGAATCCATAGGAGCGAGTGAGTGGATCTGCTCTGAACACTGATCTCTCCTCACTTCTCCTCATGAGAGAGTCAGACTACTGCTCCAGCTGTTCAGACCGTCCTTCTGCAGGACTCCAGCACTGCTGTCCTGAGACCTGATGCTCCTGAACACCTTCAGCTCCGGCTCCAATCTGAAGGGCAGCTCGTGTTTGTCTCTCACATCAGTTCTGCTGATCTTTGTGGAAATCTCTTAACGCTCACTGTAGGAGAAATGATGCCTGACAATCAGAGAACACGTCAACTCAACACATTAACAGTGTCTGGCCTTTGTTTCTCTGCTCACAACAAGCAGCTTAGGAAACAAATACTGATGTAAATACAAGATTTCAAACATAATTAAATTCATCGTAACTGTTGAAAGCATCATGGTAAAGTTTTGGATAGTGTAAAACCACAAAAATCTTACCAAACTTGTGCTGCAAGAAACAGCTATTTTCTAAGAATTAATTACAATATTTGTGTTAATAGCTTTGAAAAATGTTTTAAGTTCATATCAGTTTTCATTCATTTTAAGAGTTTCTAAAATAATTTTTCAATTAAAAATTAATTTAATGCATATTTGTAATATAGCTTCTATTAGATATATCTTATAAGAGATAGAGATCTTTCCAGAAGAAATTAAACTATTAAGTATCGAGCCAAGCTGTACTGTACTTTATCACAAAAAAAACAAAACAAAAACTATATATAAACACACATAATTTGTGATAAAATATAAATGCAAACATTTTCTGTATTTCAGTTTGTACAGTTTATACTTATCAAAAAGTATTACAACTGCTTACATTTTCAAAATGTTGCCTCTTTTTTTCAAAACTTTACACACAAATCTAGGAATTGCACACACAAAATGCAAAATGCCTCACATCTCTTGCAAAACTTAATTCCTGTTAGATTTTTGTGTTACATAGAGAATTGTGTTGTGTTTTGCAAAAAGTGCTTTATGAAATTGAAAACCGAGTCAAAGGCCGAGAATTAGTGTATGGTTTTGCAGATTTGCTGTGTGCTTCTGCTGTTTGAGTGTCAGCTTTCAGAAACGGTGTCACAAGTAAAGAATTTGTGTAAGCAGTTGGAAAAAACTGTAAAGCTTCAAATGTTTTGTAGAACATGAACATGCAATAAAGATATTCATCTGCAGTCTGAGACTGACAGCTGCCTGTTCTGTGTACGAAGAGCATTTACATAAAGAGACACTTTGCATGAGAGTGTTTATAGTGCTGTGAGTTTAACACTTCATGACTGAGAGCAGAACACAAACATGCTTCAGTGCTCTGAGAGTGTTTATAGTGCTGTGAGTTTAACACTTCATGACTGAGAGCAGAACAGAACACAATCTTCATCATCACACAAGACACAACAACAACAACAATGAACAACATCCTCATCTGGATTCTCTGTATATGTATACAAGGTAAGGTTTTCATGTTAATGTTAAAGTAAGATATTATAATATTATCAGCAATCAATGTTACACATAGATCCTGCTCTTTCTATCTCTGTTTTTAGGTTTCAGTGGACAAGTGACTGTGACTCAGACTCCCTCTGTAAAAACAGTTCAGATTGGTGAATCAGTCACTATAAACTGTAAAACAAACACAGTAGTGAGCAATGACTGTCCAGGTTCATATACTTGTATGGCCTGGTATCAGCAGAAACCTGAAGAAGCTCCTAAACTCTTGATTCGTTATGCAGTCCAAAGAGAATCAAACACTCCATCTAGATTCAGTGGCAGTGGATCCAGAACTGATTTCACTCTGACCATCAGTGGAGTCCAGACTGAAGATACAGGAGATTATTACTGTCTGAGTTACCACAATGATCCAGCGTTCACACAGTGATAAAGAGTCGTACAAAAACCTCCGGTCTGAGACTGACAGCTGCCTGTTCTGTGTATGAAGAGCATTTACATAGAGAGACACTTTGCATGAGAGTGTTTATAGTGCTGTGAGTTTAACACTTCATGACTGAGAGCAGAACAGAACACAATCTTCATCATCACACAAGACACAACAACAACAATGAACAACATCATCATCCTCATCTGGATTCTCTGTATATGTATACAAGGTAAGGTTTTCATGTTAATGTTAAAGTAAGATATTATAATATTATCAGCAATCAATGTTACACATAGATCCTGCTCTTTCTATCTCTGTTTTTAGGTTTCAGTGGACAAGTGACTGTGACTCAGACTCCCTCTGTAAAAATGATTCAGATTGATGAATCAGTCACTATAAACTGTAAAACAAACACAGTAGTGAGCAATGACTGTCCAGGTTCATATACTTGTATGGCCTGGTATCAGCAGAAACCTGAAGAAGCTCCTAAACTCTTGATTCGTTATGCAGTCCAAAGAGAATCAAACACTCCATCTAGATTCAGTGGCAGTGGATCCAGAACTGATTTCACTCTGACCATCAGTGGAGTCCAGACTGAAGATACAGGAGATTATTACTGTCTGAGTTACCACAATGATCCAGCGTTCACACAGTGATAAAGAGTCGTACAAAAACCTCCGTCAGTCAGAGTCACAGTGACTGCACTGATACAGCTGAGAGACACTGCAGCTGCTGATGAGAGGATCACAAACAACACAATGACACAGCGTATCAAACATTTCAGAGACTATTTATTTATATGATATAGTTGTGAAGCAGAGATTTATTAGTGGAAACAAGGAGAGAGTAGTCAAAACCAGGCAATGGTCAAAAGCAAGGCAACAGAGAAGCAAACAGCATGCAGGAGTCAATTAAGATCAAAACCCAAAGATGACAAAATCCAGAGTCATAAAACCAAGAGTGTAGAGTGTGAAACAAGCAACACTTCACACTGAGTGAACAAACAGTCAGGGTTTAAACAGGCCATTCTAATTAGACTGATGAGAATAAACACCTGAGAAGAATCACATCAGAGTTCAGGTGAGTGTGACGTCTGGTGGTGGAGTTAAGAAGTGACAAACGTGTGACAATACCAAGGAAATATAATATAATTCTACTGTATATCACTTACTAGATTTCACATTGTCTAGAAGAAAAATAAATGTATGGTGCTTGTTCATGCAAAACTTTCCATCACAATGTAAACAATTTTTCCAAGATTTCCCTTGTCTTTATAATATTTTGATGTCTGGATTTGAAGTTTTACATCAGTCGTGAACAAGCACATTACTATAACAGACTTATCGACTCATGATCAAGTCAAGCCAGTAACTTATTGTCTGGCTAATCTGATTCTTCGTTCTCTCATCTGATTTTCATGATGAATCATTCACTGCGTCTCATCACAGATCAACAGTTGATTCAATCATTCAGAAGGTCAGTATGACTGCTGAGAGTCTCAGTGTGAACAAACCTCATCTCTCCATTAGTTCAACTCTACTGACTCATTTCAGAGAATAAAGAGTCAAACAGTCAAACTCATATTTGAGTGATTCTGTTCCTCTCAGAATAGAGCAGCTCCATCAGCAGATGTTCAGCGTCCTCACAGGAGCTTCATGATACAGTCAAACTACACAGAGTCAACACACAGAGAACCAATAGTGATCTGAAGAAATCTTTCAGTGTTTGAGCTTCATTATTTGACTACACAGAATAGTTTCATAATTTCCTCCATTTGCAGGTGTTTTTATGGTTCACTGAGTGACATTTGATTATAAAACATGAACTTGAGTTCTGGGGTCTCATTTATAAAGACGCACATATCATTTTCTGAAATTCTCTACGAGCGATTAATAAAACCAAAAAAAAAAAAAAGTTTCTAAATGCATTAATCTTTATAAATCTCAGTTAATTTGAAATACAAGCACAATGTGATTGAATCAAACACATCAACCTACAGAACGGCCACAAATATGACTTTATGGTTCAGAAGAAGTACAACATTAATCAACATGAACAAGCAAATCCAAATGTGTTCATATTCAGGAACTCATTAATACCTGTGATGTAATTTTCACAAAGCATAATATTAATGAATATTGTGATTGTTTATTTTTACCTTATTTTTTTTTATCTTAACTATTTTATAAACAATGTTGAATTTTCTTATGGTATATATGTGTACAAAGGTTTGTATGAATGCTCTTTTGTACAGATACAAATATTTTCACATAATTTCACATAATTTATGTGTTTGTAAATCCCAATTTGTTCCTCACTTTTAGGATGAATCCTCCATCATTTAGGATCCGATTATACATGCATTTTAGAAATGAAGCTTGTGACCTTTTCAAATTCAAAAATACAAAAATGAGTCAAAGACATAAAGATAAAATATTGTTTTATTGCTAACTGAATTTCGATTAAATAATATCCAGTATAGTTGAAACAGCTTTTAAGTTTTTAATCTTCACCCATTTGTGCTTTTATTTTGACTTCTGTAAATATTACTCAGATTAATATTAATCTAATAAATCTCCAAACAAAACCACCAGACCATCATTAAACACCTCAAAATCTTAAATCCACAAAAGAATACTGAAAGACTGACAGCCAAACACAAGAGCGCAGTAATTTTACAAGACTTACACACAAAATAATTTATTATAAACGATAAATAGGAATATCAGCACAGTTTTTAGTCTCGTGTCAAACTGGTTTACATGTATGTGTATGAAGAGCATTTACATAAAGAGACACTTTGCATGAGAGTGTTTATAGTGCTGTGAGTTTAACACTTCATGACTGAGAGCAGAACACAACACAATCTTCATCATCACACAAGACACAACAACAACAATGAACAACATCTTTGCATCGTCAGCACATGCTTCAGTGCTCTGAGAGTGTTTATAGTGCTGTGAGTTTAACACTTCATGACTGAGAGCAGAACACAACACAATCTTCATCATCACACAAGACACAACAACAACAATGAACAACATCATCATCCTCATCTGGACTCTGACTCTCTGCATTCAGGGTAAATATTTTATAATAAATCACAAACTATACTAAAATTTTCATATACTGTGGACTAGTATGATATATTAGAATAATAATATGTTATCAAAATGTTCACTAAACATCTAAAATGTCTTATTTCAGAGATCTGGGGACAAATGACAGTGACTCAGAATCCAGAAATAAAATCCATCAAACAAGGAGAAACTGTTACGATCAGCTGTAAAACCAGTCAGAAACTTTCTAGCTGTAGTAACTGTGTGTCTTGGTATCAGCAGAAACCTGGAGAAGCTCCTAAACTCCTCATTTATTACATAAACATCCTCCAGTCAGGAACGCCATCTAGATTCAGTGGCAGTGGATCTGGCACTGATTTCTCTCTGACCATCAGTGGAGTCCAGACTGAAGATACAGGAGACTATTACTGTGTGGCTGTAAACTGGATCAGTAATAGCTGGGTGTTCACACAGTGATAAAGAGTCGTACAAAAACCTCCGTCAGTCAGAGTCACAGTGACACAGTGAGAGACACTGCAGCTGCTCTACAACACAATCACACACAACACTGATCAACACAAACACTAATAACACAATATCATTACAATCAACAGAAATATTATACTTCTGTGAATGTGTCAGTGTTTTAATAGGATCATCATATTTAGGTGTAATATATGATTCCTGTCAATCAAACTGAACAGATTCAGTCACTTCTGCTGTCTGTACGTGATGCTTTACATTTGACCCACAGAAAAATGTACCAATGTTTTCACCTTCTCCTGCACTATAATGATGAGTTAGTCTGTGTGCTGCTTGACTACAGCAGAAGTGAAACTGGTCTGTTTCAGTCCAGATCATGTAACCAATCAAACAGTGACTCTGGGAGTGTGGGCTGAAAATCAAATTTGATTTGTGAAGAAGTTCTCCCGTGCGTATGAATACAAAATGATCCATGTTATTATTAGTGAATTAGACACAATATTCTTCCGCAAGACTCGTGCTAATTTTAACTGCTATAGGGCAGAAAGTTACACAGTGTATCTTTAAATTATTAAGTAATTACATTAAACCCTACACATACAGGATAACAATAATTGTGCAAATAATGTAAAAACCTCAAACCCTATTACACCAGTGTGTTTTTTATACTGAACTCTGCAAAACACAAAGCATATTGAACAAAATACTCTCAAAACAGAAGACTGTGTGCCATTTAACTGTGGCCGGCGCGTGCTTACAGGCAAACTAGGCAGACACCTACTGTGACAGTACAGTGAGGCTGGCAAGAAAGAGAGAGATTTCATTTGTAATGTATTTTCTTATATGTATTAATTTCATTTATTTAATTCATTGAACTTTCTTTTGGAAATATCGCACTCATATCAACAAGTTGTCACCCCATTATTATTCTAAATCTAAATTATTTTTTCTTTATAGCGCTCACACCCCACTCTTAGTTCGGCATCAATAGTCAACATGAGAAACACCCGGATGTACATCAAAAGTGTCTTCAAAACTAATAAAACTCTCCAGACAAAAATGTATGACTTTTGCTACTGGTGATGACTAATGACTTTTAAATCCTGACACGTTTCTGAAGGGCAGGCTTATGTTGTGTATGTGTGTGTGAGAGAGAAAAAAACAGGAGAGAAGTCATGTGGCTCACTTTATTGCGTGCGTTATATTTATATATGCCATTTATAATTTTTTATAAATGCTATGAATAGCTGTGCACACACAAGCGACGGGATTTCAGGTGTACGAGCACCGCTTGCAAATCGTCACTTCACCACTACAACCAATTTGCCCAAAAATGAACAAGATACTTGTGCTTTCCACATCCGTGTGAGACTTCATTAATGTAAAAGTGGTACTGTTGCCGGACCAATTTATGTGTGGCTCACCGGGAATTCTCCTGAATCTTTCCATGGCCACTCC